AAGAAAGTTCGGAATGTGAACAGGGAAAAGGTGAACATGTTGCAGACTTCAGAAATTGTCTTGAACGCGAGTCTGAGCTACATGGTGAAATGAGAAAGAAAGACTGTGATTCAGCCTGGGGACACCAGGACAATATGGGAGTCGTCGCGGGACTTCTACTGGACATTGAACGTCATTTCCGCACACTTTGTGTGTCTCTAGACGATGGAAGAATGACCATGTTTGGCCACACATTCAACACGCTGATAGAGTCTACGACGACCAGCTGTACAAACAGACCGAAGACAGACGGGAGCGTGAAACGCAAATTCAGATGGTCCAACTGGACTTCTACAGCAGAGACTATTCTGGAGGGAGGAGGAGACAGAGAGCAGGCAGGAGAGGACAATACAGACACCAGGGTGATACCTACAGACACCAGGGTGATGTTAACTACAGACACCAGAGGGGTGATACCTACAGACACCAGGGTGATACCTACAGACACCAGGGTGATAACTCCAGCCAAAGTCCCAACTCTGATAGCTGTTTCAACTGTGGTGCTTTTGGACACTGGGCTCGTCACTGCACTGTGCCGGACACTAGAGACTATTACCATGGGAACAGAAAAGATGGAAACAGTGAAAGAAGGGGATGTGGAGTGAGACGAGGCATCGACCAGAATCAATCTCGGGGACAGCATAACTCCATCCGGCCCCCTAAAAGCAATGCGTGTTTACGTTGTGCTTCAGTTGACCACTGGGTACGGGCTTGCCCCGAACCGGACTTGAGACATTATTTCAAAGGACAAATGGACAATTCACGTTGTGATGACTGACAACCGTGGTGGACCTACGTGAACAATCCCAGAGGCGTTTGTGGTGATGCGGATGCGTGGGGTGGAGTTGTACGGCAGGAGGGAACGACCAATCCGGAGTCGTCATCATTACTGGGTGAGAGAATTCCATCACATACCTCGTCGCACACGATATTGTTACAAACATTTAGAGTAGATTATGATAATGTTTTGTTTATCAAAATGTTTATTTTAGTTTTTGTCACATGGAGATGTTCATGTGTCAAAAAGGGGGATTGTAGATATAATACATTAATTTGTGAGATCAATCCATTATGTAATTAGTTGATTATGCTGGTATTTGGAGTTGAATTATGTTGGTGTGCTTGTCTGTTCCCTGTGTCGACCAGGGGACTGCATAGCTGCTAACAGGTTTAAGTCTTGCTAGACATCAACTCATTGTTAATGAAAGATCTTATTTTTCGCTGTCCAGGGTCGTTCGTACGCGTACACATATATCATATTAAAATACCCTAAGTGTGATTCATGCATGATCTGGGGTAAAGCTTCATGAAGTTGGGACAGGGGTCCCAGGCCAAAGTTCTGTCGACAAATTTATTTTCAGGTTTTCCTGTGCACGAGGAATTCCTATTTTATTTTATTCCTTGTTTTTAGGCATTATGTAACATCTGCGCTAATGGAATAATTACGAGTATTTTTCTTTTATTACGTTACATGTTTTACCTGAAATACTGTGTACCGTTCTGTTTGTAGGAAGACTACATTCTAGATTATATACTATGGTTATTTGTTTTGTTTGAAGTTGAATGAGGACACTTGTTAAACTTCAGGATGTGTTCCTATAAATGTTGGCATGATGATATAATGAATGACCATGTGGGTTAAGTGTATTTCTGATACACCCTTTTATTTTTATTATTGGCTTTTGGCTATTTTGAGTAGTATGTTTAAGACATTCTGAGTTCTTGATTGTTAAAAGGGCAGAAAGTTAATTGTAACTGTTTATCTGCCTGTCTAGAGATGGTTTCTGTTAATTTAGGGGTGTTTATGAACTTTTCTCTGACCCTCCCTGGGGTGCTTCTCTGGCTCAAAAAGAGTGGGCACACCAAAGTTGCTTATTTAGAGGGGGGGCTGGTTTACTGTGTGATTGTGAGGTGGCTCAGCCCAGGGCTAACAGATGGCTGGTCATAAACCATATTTTAGTCATGTGTTTTATCTTAGATAAATTTAACAAGTTTGTCTATGACAGTAGTTTGTTTTCTCCATTGTTGATGAACTTAAGGAGAAACCAAGAGGGGATGTGACGTAATAAATATATTCAAGAATATAGCATTTGTTAAATTTGGATTTCAGGCAATTGAAGTGTATAGTTGGATAACATGTCTAAACATTTGAATGGTTGAGGAGAATGGCTATTACAAATGTATTTGGCCTAGCAAAATTAAATCTGAGCAGTAAACACAATGTAATTCTATTGTTAAAGATGTTAACTGACACATGGAATGCAATAACTGTTTGCAGGTTGTGTCGCATTAAAAATCAACAGGTTGGACCATGAACAACTGGAGCAGAGCATCTGAGCCCTACCCCCCACGCACACGCACACACACATATCAGAAGCTAACTGAATTACTTTAGGTACAGACCACAGAAAAGGTCAAACCAGAACCAAGGAAAAACGTGTCATCCAGAACACAAAGGAGGCAATTACAAATTGTGTGAATGTTATTGTACACTTTCCAAGGAAGTTATTGACTCTAAAGAGAAAAAGGCTCCACCTCTGGAGAATACAGGCAAGGAATAAGTATCCTCATTTCTGTTTGAACGGGTCACATGCTAGCAACCTCTGACCCCCAACACAGTCAGCGGTAATCAGAGAAACCAACACAGGCTGCACACCATGGAACCAGCGAGACGACCATGGAACCCCTACAGGAGGATTGGGGGAATGAGATGCAACATCGCATTACATCTTGCTTTTAGTCTCATTGTTGTAATTGTACTGTGGTTCTCTGACCTACAACATTACAAACCAAATGTAAATTTGAATAAGACAGGTATTGAGAAAGGCGTTAAAGCCCGATCTCAGGGACTGTTACGAAATCAGATATCATGTAATGTAAACAACTGCCAACCCAATGATGAATGGTTCATTATGACTGACCCTAAAATTACAGTGGGTCAGAATGAGAGTATGTGGATGTTTCTTCACTGATAAACAGTACTGAATGTGTTTGCAATAATGACTCAATGATCTGTCATGTGAATGTTTCTGATGATCAAAAAGTGCCAACATATTTACTGATGTTTTTTCTAATATGTTTAATGATTAGTTCCTCACACTAGATGGAGGATTAGAAATCCAGAATATGAAAATGACGGTGTTGAACATTGCTAATTACTGTACTGACATTGGATTATTTCAATTGATTGTGTACTATGTTTGGTAAAAGTATTTTTCTTAACAGGTTACAGTTTCAGAAATATGACAGTGGTGGATCCATATATTCCTGATTGGTTATGAGTAATTATTAAGTTTGACTGAACTAAAATTTAGAGTTGACACTCTAAAAACATTGTTTAAATTGTTTAACATGATTAAGGGTTTATAATGTTAAAAAGGGCAGATTGTTATGGAATTTTATGATCATTCAAGAAGCTTAATACATGTAAGTCTCATAGATGTTATTTAGGCCAAAAGGCACAAAGAAAGGGATGCTCAGAAACCTTCTAGCTATACTGGGGTGAACAGGGATGACATCTGTATGTCTTAAGAGGGGCCCAATGCTAGAAATAGATGTCTTGATTACCTTACTTGTGATGGGCTGTCAAAGCAACTTTATGGGTTTTACGTTCACCTTTTTCTGTGTCTCACCATAAAAGGATATGTACCAGGCCTCCCCTTTACTTGACTGGGGAGTGAACCTCGGGTTTTATGACAGCTCCAAACATCACCCATATTATACTGTATGTACAATTTTCCATACCTTTTACATCTGTTTTCTCTGCTGTGATGTCATTCTCCTGGGCCCAATTTAGATTCTCCATATGATTCCTAACCTTTTAAGGCTTACCCCATGTATGCTTTCCTGCACTATGGCCTATATAAACTGAGTGTATTGTATGCCTTGGTCAGGAAATAACCTGCCACCGCATTGTTGCCGTGAGTGCGTGTGTTAAGGTTTTCCTCATCTATCAATTAAACTGTTAGAGTTAACTTGAGAGATACTCTTGTCTGTTCTTATTTCGAGTCTGAGTTCAGTGTGTATTTGCTTAATGTTATTCTAGAGATATAGGTATAGTAACATTAATTACGTGGTATTAGAAATAATTCCATAACAGCCTCCATATGGAGACCAGAACACCCTATTAGGTAGGATGGTTTTGTTCCTTGAGTCTGGCGCCTTAGACCACTCGGCCATCCTGACATTGGTTAGAGAGCACTGTATTGCTTTTGCACATAAATGTTCTCAAACATTGAGTTTAGAAGATCTGGCGAAAATGTTCCATACTGAAGGGCCTTCTTAAATGTTTCCAATTGAAAAGAGACACATTTGTTTGGGACACAGAATTTTCATGTATCGTAAAAAAAAACGTTGTTTCCAGGTTCAGGTCACTATTTAAAGGACATAATATCCAAAACAATGCATCGAAAATGTTGTATGTCAGAAGTGGGATTAGACCACTCGGCCATCGTGACATTGGTTAGAGACCACAGTATTGCTTTTGCACATAAATGTTCTCAAACATTGAGTTTAGAAGATCTGGCGAAAATGTTCCATACTGAAGGGCCTTCTTAAATGTTTCCAATTGAAAAGAGACACATTTGTTTGGGACACAGAATTTTCATATCTAGTAAAAAAATTTGTTTCCAGGGGTCAGGTCACCATTTAAAGGACACTAAATCCAAAACAATGGATCGAAAATGTTGTATGTCAGAAGTGGGATTAGACCACTCGGCCATCCTGACATTGGTTAGAGAGCACTGTATTGCTTTTGCACATAAATGTTCTCAAACATTGAGTTTAGAAGATCTGGCGAAAATGTTCCATACTGAAGGGCCTTCTTAAATGTTTCCAATTGAAAAGAGACACATTTGTTTGGGACACAGAATTTTCATATCTAGTAAAAAAATGTTGTGTCCAGGGGTCAGGTCACCATTTAAAGGACATAATATCCAAAACAATGCATCGAAAATGTTGTATGTCAGAAGTGGGATTTGAACCCACGCCTCAATATGGAGACCAGATCACCCTATTAGGTAGGACGGTTTTGTTCCTTGAGTCTTGCGCATTAGACCACTCGGCCATCCTGACATTGGTTAGAGGTCACAGTATTGCTTTTGCACATAAATGTTCTCAAACATTGAGTTTAGAAGATCTGGCGAAAATGTTCCATACTGAAGGGCCTTCTTAAATGTTTCTAATTGAAAAGAGACACATTTGTTTGGGAGACAGAATTTTCATATCTAGTAAAAAAATGTTGTGTCCAGGGGTCAGGTCACCATTTAAAGGACATAAAATCCAAAACAATGCATCGAAAATGTTGTATGTCAGAAGTGGGATTAGACCACTTGGCCATCCTGACATTGGTTAGAGACCACAGTATTGCTTTTGCACATAAATGTTCTCAAACATTGAGTTTAAAAGATCTGGCGAAAATGTTCCATACTGAAGGGCCTTCTTAAATGTTTCCAATTGAAAAGAGACACATTTGTTTGGGACACAGAATTTTCATATCTAGTAAAAAAATGTTGTGTCCAGGGGTCAGGTCACCATTTAAAGGACATAATATCCAAAACAATGCATCGAAAATGTTGTATGTCAGAAATGGGATTTGAACCCACGCCTCCATATGGAGACCAGAACACCCTATTAGGTAGGAAGATTTTGTTCCTTGAGTCTGGCGCCTTAGACCACTCAGCCATCCTGACATTGGTTAGAGATCACAATATTGCTTTTGCACATAAATGTTCTCAAACATTGATTTTAGAAGATCTGGCGAAAATGTTCCATACTGAAGGGCCTTCTTAAATGTTTCTAATTGAAAAGAGACACATTTGTTTGGGACACAGAATTTTCATATCTAGTAAAAAAATGTTGTGTCCAGGGGTCAGGTCAACATTTAAAGGACATAATATCCAAAACAATGCATCGAAAATGACGTATGCCAGAAGTGGGATTTGAACCCACGCCTCCATATGGAGACCAGAACACCCTATTAGGTATGATGATTTTGTTCCTTGAGTCTGGCGCCTTAGACCACTCGGCCGTCCTGACATTGGTTAGAGAGCACTGTATTGCTTTTGCACATAAATGTTCTCAAACATTGAGTTTAGAAAATCTGGCGAAATTGTTCCATACTGAAGGGCCTTCTTAAATGTTTCCAATTGAAAAGAGACACATTTGTTTGGGACACAGAATTTTCATTTATCGTAAAAAAAACGTTGTTTCCAGGTTCAGGTCACTATTTAAAGGACATAATATCCAAAACAATGCATCGAAAATGTTGTATGTCAGAAGTGGGATTAGACCACTCGGCCATCGTGACATTGGTTAGAGACCACAGTATTGCTTTCGCACATAAATGTTCTCAAACATTGAGTTTAGAAGATCTGGCGAAAATGTTCCATACTGAAGGGCCTTCTTAAATGTTTCTAATTGAAAAGAGACACATTTGTTTGGGACACAGAATTTTCATATCTAGTAAAAAAATGTTGTTTCCAGGGGTCAGGTCACCATTTAAAGGACATAAAATCCAAAACAATGCATCGAAAATGTTGTATGTCAGAAGTGGGATTAGACCACTTGGCCATCCTGACATTGGTTAGAGACCACAGTATTGCTTTTGCACATAAATGTTCTCAAATATTGAGTTTAGAAGATCTGGCGAAAATGTTCCATACTGAAGGGCCTTCTTAAATGTTTCCAATTGAAAAGAGACACATTTGTTTGGGACACAGAATTTTCATATCTAGTAAAAAAATGTTGTGTCCAGGGGTCAGGTCACCATTTAAAGGACATAAAATCCAAAACAATGCATCAAAAATGTTGTATGTCAGAAGTGGGATTAGACCACTTGGCCATCCTGACATTGGTTAGAGATCACGGTATTGCTTTTGCACATTAATGTTCTCAAACATTGAGTTTAGAAGATCTGGCGAAAATGTTCCTACTGAAGGGCCTTCTTAAATGTTTCCAATTGAAAAGAGACACATTTGTTTGGGACACAGAATTTTCATATCTAGTAAAAAATGTTGTGTCCAGGGGTCAGGTCAACATTTAAAGGACATAATATCCAAAAAAAAGCATCGAAAATGTTGTATGTCAGAAGTGGGATTTGAACCCACGCCTCCATATGGAGACCAGAACACCCTATTAGGTAGGAGGGTTTCGTTCCTTGAGTCTGGCGCCTTAGACCACTCGGCCATCCTGACATTGGTTAGAGAGCACTATATTGCTTTTGCACATAAATGTTCTCAAACATTGAGTTTAGAAGATCTGGCGAGAATGTTCCATACTGAAGGGCCTTCTTAAATGTTTCCAATTGAAAAGAGACACATTTGTTTCGGACACAGAATTTTCATGTATCGTAAAAAAACGTTGTTTCCAGGGGTCAGGTCACCATTTAACAGTACATGAAATCCAAAACAATGTATTGAAAAAGATGCATGTCAGAAGTGGGATTTGAACCCACGCCTCCATATGGAGACCAGAACACCCTATTAAGTAGGAAGGTTTTGTTCCTTGAGTCTGGCGCCTTAGACCACTCGGCCATCCTGACATTGGTTAGAGATAACAGTATTGCTTTTGCACATAAATGTTCTCAAACATTGAGTTTAGAAGATCTGGCGAAAATGTTCCATACTGAAGGGCCTTCTTAATTGTTTCTAATTGAAAAGAGACACATTTGTTTGGGACACAGAGTTTTCATATCTAGTAAAAAAAAATTGTATCCAGGGGTCAGGTCAACATTTAAAGGACATAATATCCAAAACAATGCATCGAAAATGTTGCATGTCAGAAGTGGGATTTGAACCCACGCCTCCATATGGAGACCAGAACACCCTATTAGGTAGGATGGTTTTGTTCCTTGAGTCTGGTGCCTTAGACCACTCGGCCATCCTGACATTGGTTAGTGAGCACAGTATTGCTTTTGCACATAAATGTTCTCAAACATTGAGTTTAGAAGATCTGGCGAAAATGTTCCATACTGAAGGGCCTTCTTAAATGTTTCCAATTGAAAAGAGACACATTTGTTTGGGACACAGAATTTTCATATCTAGTAAAAAAAAATTGTGCCCAGGGGTCAGGTCAACATTTAAAGGACATAATATCCAAAACAATGCATCGAAAATGTTGTATGTCAGAAGTGGGATTTGAACCCACGCCTCCATATGGAGACCAGAACACCCTATTAGGTAGGATGGTTTTGTTCCTTGAGTCTGGCGCCTTAGACCACTCGGCCAGCCTGACATTGGTTAGAGACCACAGTATTGCTTTTGCACATAAATGTTCTCAAACATTGAGTTTAGAAGATCTGCCGAAAATGTTCCATACTGAAGGGCCTTCTTAAATGTTTCCAATTGAAAAGAGACACATTTGTTTGGGAGACAGAATTTTCATATCTAGTAAAAAAATGTTGTGTCCAGGGGTCAGGTCACCATTTAAAGGACATAAAATCCAAAACAATGCATCGAAAATGTTGTATGTCAGAAGTGGGATTAGACCACTTGGCCATCCTGACATTGGTTAGAGACCACAGTATTGCTTTTGCACATAAATGTTCTCAAACATTGAGTTTAAAAGATCTGGCGAAAATGTTCCATACTGAAGGGCCTTCTTAAATGTTTCCAATTGAAAAGAGACACATTTGTTTGGGACACAGAATTTTCATATCTAGTAAAAAAATGTTGTGTCCAGGGGTCAGGTCACCATTTAAAGGACATAAAATCCAAAACAATACATCAAAAATGTTGTATGTCAGAAGTGGGATTAGACCACTTGGCCATCCTGACATTGGTTAGAGACCACAGTATTGCTTTTGCACATAAATGTTCTCAAACATTGAGTTTAAAAGATCTGGCGAAAATGTTCCATACTGAAGGGCCTTCTTAAATGTTACCAATTGAAAAGAGACACATTTGTTTGGGACACAGAATTTTCATATCTAGTAAAAAAATGTTGTGTCCAGGGGTCAGGTCACAATTTAAAGGACATAATATCCAAAACAATGCATCGAAAATGTTGTATGTCAGAAATGGGATTTGAACCCACGCCTCCATATGGAGACCAGAACACCCTATTAGGTAGGATGGTTTTGTTCCTTGAGTCTGGCGCCTTAGACCACTCGGCCATCCTGACATTGGTTAGAGAGCACTGTATTGCTTTTGCACATAAATGTTCTCAAACATTGAGTTTAGAAGATCTGGCGAAAATGTTCCATACTGAAGGGCCTTCTTAAATGTTTCTAATTGAAAAGAGACACATTTGTTTGGGACACAGAATTTTCATATCTAGTAAAAAAATGTTGTGTCCAGGGGTCAGGTCAACATTTAAAGGACATAATATCCAAAACAATGCATCGAAAATGTTGTATTTCAGAAGTGGGATTTGAACCCACGCCTTGTTATGGAATTGTATGATCATTCAAGAAGCTTAATACATGTAAGTCTCATAGATGTTATTTAGGCCAAAAGGCACAAAGAAAGGGATGCTCAGAAACCTTCTAGCTATACTGGGGTGAACAGG